TACCATGTTATTCATAATTCATTGCCGAAATATTTTACGTATTACGACATATACATATATACAAAATATTAATTTATACAAGTATATATTTTAAATATTTTAAAGATGAATTTTCTCGCAATTCTGACTTTTTATTTAGAATTCTGGGTAGCATTCCACGAGATGTAAAAGAAACTCTTAACATTTTAATGCTTTAACTAATATTGCAAGAGATATCACCGTTTTCCGTATCACATTTTTCGAAAACCTCGCAGTATACCTATCATTGGACGATCATATGACCGTGAAAAAATTAATTAACTTTGTTAATAATTAAAACTCCTTTGAATTCAAAAAAACACGGTTAAAACTATAGGAAAACATAATAATTATAATAGAATATATCTCCGCGTTTTGAAAATTACAATTTTTCATATGTGTCGTATAAAAATATATCCAAGTATTGGGAAAAATAGAGTTTTTTGCATTACCCGTTTTTTATTTAGAATTCTGGGTAACAACCCACGAAACATAAAAGAAACTTTTAACATTTTTATACTCAAACCAATATTGCAAGAGATATCGCGATTTTTTAATCGTTCTTATCTATTATCATTTATAAAAGTTAAATGGCGCATTTTATAATATTTTATGTAACACACACATTTTGTAATATTTTAATATGTCGTGAGCAGCTCTCATCGATATATCCATTCTTAAAAAGGCATGTTAAATCGATTCTAGCAATGTAGTTATACACATATACATATAAAATAAATGGCACGCCCGTAGCGCGCGCTTATAGTGTTCTAGCAAACAAAAAATAGGCATGCATTTGTATTTTTCTAAAAGAATTTTCCCTGTCTCGGAAGTAATAAAACATCTTTGAAACTTGAAGGATCTCTCACAAATATGCATTACCTGAGAGACCCTTTGAGTTTCAAAGAAATTTCTCTTTTGTGCGCATAGTCACGTGACAACTGTATAGTGGGAGAAGCTTGAGATATACAGATAATTCAGAATAAGAGTGGACCGAGTGTGAAGAAGTTCTTGTAGTGCGCATAAAACAATCACGTGTGTTCTCTGCAATCGGCAGACATAATTACGCAACATCGCAGAATATTTCGTGTGGTTTTAAGAAGAGAAAAACTATTTGTTGCTATCTTCTTAAATTACATTATTTCTTTGATTTTTACTGAATTATTGTTATAATGGCTACGATAATGTGCTTATCTGATGAGGTGATAGACATAATTCTTAGCTGCAATAATATCAGCATTGGAGATATTATTAACTTCAGATGCGTGTGCAAAAAATTTCGGTGGGCAGGCCGTAACAATAGATTCCGGACAACAAAATATTTTCAACGGTAATTTCTTGTTTCTATTATAAATATTTTGTAATTTTATTTCATTAAAAATCATTATTCAAACAATAAGAATTACATTTTATAATATTTCAAAATGTAATTTTTATCGTTTGTGTAGTTTTTTATGCCTTTAATACCGAAATTTGATAAAAATAGCAATATCTCATTTTTATTAAATTATGATTTGGGGAAGCGTGCTATTTTGGAGATTTGACCAAAATGCCAAATGGGAATGTTTCTTGTTTTGATGCACTAAATTCACCCCTTCAGTCTGGACATGCAGATCTGGGGGACACCTTGTATAACAAATATAATATATATAATTAAAAAATAGTATACTAAAAATTTAAAACTTTTTTTATTTTATAAAATAATGTTTTATTAATATAATTACTATATTTTAATATT